TGCCCCCCCATTTGCCTTCCCACTTGGCTTATTCTTGTAGAAAACAAATCGGTATCTTACACTGGTGTTGAGAGATTTTCACGTAATCTTTCCCGAAAGAAAGCATGAACTACTCCCATTTCTTGTGTACTTGCACGTTGACGTGGTGTTTCCCTCCCCTGATCAAGTGGAGAATTCAGATCACTAATCAAATTAGCACCTGAGTTTCCCTCATGTCTGTCAGCCATATGACCCATTCTATTTACAGAAAGGAGCTGTTGGATATGGCGGTGTATTAACCTTCTCCCGAATAGTGTTGGTGCCCCGGCTCCAGGTAATGGTGAGGTCACTTGAAAACCTCCAAAATGATACCTCGGAGATGAAAGACTCCCAAATCCTTGTGAATAAACTGAATTAAGGTCTAAACCTTCAATGAAATAGTTAGTGACGGTTGATGCTCTATCAGACACGGTGCTGCTTGTTGTTCTCTGGTCAGACAAACGAGTCTGAGCAGGGGAACTTGAGGATCCAGTAGCAACAGGTCTACAACCGTCACAATACCAATTACCTTCAGGTACTTCTCGCCCAAGGCCAACACAATAGGTGTGCGCGGGCGAATCACAAAGATCGCATAGTAACATGAGGCCATCATCCCCACCTTCATGGCATTCTGTACAAATCACGTTCTCATAAGGATCAATATAGCTCCTGAGTTCTTCCTCTGATGGCTGATATACCTGTATGCAAAAATAAACTCATTTTAAAACATATTTTGAATTAGATAATGCTAAACCCACAACACAAAACGAAGGTGATGTTAAACTGAAGCATGGCATGGAATTGATTCATACCTGATCACGCTCAGGGACTTGTATCGCCATCTCCCTCAAATCAATTCCTGCTGTATTTCTTGCAGTTTTACTAATTGTGTTAAACCTCTGCTTGCACAGAGGACAACGTGATTCCACTTTTGCCCATTCCATGATGCAGGGAAAACAGAAATAATGAGTGCAGCAATTCAGTGTTCCCCTCACTTTTCTTTTATCTTCCTCAGAAAGACAAATCCCGCAGACCTGCCTTACAACCTCAGCTTTTACCTCCTCTACCTTCTCCTTACCCTTCCTCCCCGTAGGTTTTCTTTCTGGCTGCAAAACCACATCCTCCTGAATTTTATTAGACGCTGATGAACTTCTCAAATTAGTTTTCAGCTTTCCACAGTACTCCCTAGCTTCTCTCACTTGCTCTCTCTCTTCCTCGGATATGGTGTACTTGTACTCAGAAGATCCAGACGAGGCAAAATCTGAATCTGAGGGCACAGTATACAGCCTCCTTTTCCAAGCCCTTCTCATCTCACCTTTGTCTCTCAAAGCCAAGCCATTATCCATGAAATCACCATCATCATCACCATCAGACCTTACTTTCCTTCTGAATCCACGTGTCTTTCTTAAAGGCTTCTTTGAAGCCATAGATTTCCTTCTCCTTTTACGGCCTCCTGCAGGACCCTTTTTCTGCAAAACCCGCTTGCCTGCTTTCGCATTGTTTTTCTTCTTTTTTGCCCTTGATTCTTCTTCATCCGAACAATCATCATCATCTGGTTTGAATTCCTCATCTTCTTCATCATTATTTGGCGTGAACTCATCATCATCATCATCATCAACTCCGTCTTCTTTGTACGTGACTCTTCTCTTTTGTGATGGTTTAACCCCATTCTTTTGTGGTCTTGAAAGACCCCTCTGCACTTTTGATCTAGCTGTCGTCTTGACCTCATTCATTTCTTCATCTTCAACCTCATCTTCTTCATCATTATTTGGCGTGAACTCATCATCATCACCATCAACTTCGTCTTCTTTGTACGTGACTCTTCTCTTTTGTGATGGTTTAACCCCATTCTTTTGTGGTCTTGAAAAACCCCTCTGCACTTTTGATCTAGCTGTCGTCTTGACTTCATTCATTTCTTCATCTTCAACCTCATCTTCTTCATCATTATTTGGCGTGAACTCATCATCATCATCATCAACTTCGTCTTCTTTGAACGTGATTCTTCTCTTTTGTGATGGTTTAACCCCATTCTTTTGTGGTCTTGAAAAACCCATCTGCACTTTTGATCTAGCTGTCGTCTTGACCTCATTCATTTCTTCATCTTCAACCTCATCTTCTTCATCTTCATCATTATTTGGCGTGAACTCATCGTCATCATCATCAACTTCGTCTTCTTTGTACGTGACTCTTCTCTTTTGTGATGGTTTAACCCCATTCTTTTGTGGCCTTGAAAACCCCCTCTGCACTTTTGATCTAGCTGTCGTCTTGACCTCATTCATTTCTTCATCTTCAACCTCATTTTCTTCATCATTATTTGGTGTGAACTCATCATCATCATCATCAACTTCGTCTTCTTTGTACGTGACTCTTCTCTTTTGTGATGGTTTAACCCCATTCTTTTGTGGTCTTGAAAAACCCCTCTGCACTTTTGATCTAGCTGTTGTCTTGACCGCATTCATTTCTTCATCTTCAACCTCATCTTCTTCATCATTATTTGGCGTGAACTCATCATCATCATCATCAACTTCGTCTTCTTTGAACATGATTCTTCTCTTTTGTGATGGTTTAACCCCATTCTTTTGTGGTCTTGAAAAACCCATCTGCACTTTTGATCTAGCTGTCGTCTTGACCTCATTCATTTCTTCATCTTCAACCTCATCTTCTTCACGATCCTCATCCCCCACTTCTTCCTCCTCCTCCTGCTCATCCTCATCCTCTTCTTCCACAATAAACCTTCTCGCGCGCTTTTTGGGTTTTGATCTACCGACCTTCTTCACCCTTTTCCTTGTCCCCTCCTCCTCCTCCTCTTCCTCTTCCTCTTCCTCAACAAAACTACCAAAACTCTCTTCTGATGCATGTCCATCTACAGAAGAACAGTAATCCTCGTCCGAGTAATCAGAGACCTCATTCTCTTCATCAGAGACTACATAATCTTCGTCTGAATCATCAGAAGCTTTATCATTATACCTATCCCATTTCCTAAATTTACGCTTGGAGCTGACCTTCCCTCCCCTAACCATCTGTTCCTAGCAATGATCAAAACTCATGCATCAATTTTCACTCAAAATTCATAATGTCAAGATTAGCGGATTCACCAACAAAAATCCGTTCATAAAATCCAGTTTTAAATTCAGAAACCAATTTCAAAAAAAAGAACAAAAAAAGGAAAAACAGATTTCAAAGTTCCTCTGTGGTCGTTGCTAAGGCTCTACTTTAATGGGGTAAGACAAGAATCTCAATCTGACAAAGCAAATAGTACGTCAACTGATGATCAATTTTAGCTTCTTTTTTTTTTCTCGTTCTCTGAGGCCCAAAAAATAAAATAAAATAAAACATGCACAGATTCCTTTTCCTACAAATTATTCAAATTACAATACAATTCACAGCGGAAAACAAATCAAAACCCATCACATAAATCATGAAACGCACCACGAATTACAAACGCAACATCTCCAAATTCCTTATCTTCTTCACAAACTTCCGAACACCAACAACAAAGCGCATAGATAAGCCAAATTCGCGTTCAGAAATTCAATATCAACATTGAAAGATCAAACAAATCTAAAAACCGAAAAACCTAGAAACCAAAAAAAAAAAGCCTGAAACGCACAAACAAATCCGGTCAGATTTTCAGTCATATCTCCATATACAACAACAAACAAAAACGCATCAAACAAATCCAAAAACAAAAACGCAAAGAGAAATCTTAAAAAGCCATGGAAGGAAAAGAGAAGAAGGAGAAGAAGAAGAAGATTGAGAGAAGGGTTTGGGCACCTGAGAGGAGGAAGAAGAAAGCAATCGCCCAAAAAAAATGGTGAAAATGGTTTTTATTTATTTATTTTATTCTTGGTTTTTGGGTTGGTTTTATGCGTTTTGATTTTGTATTTATAAGCACACGCTGGCTTTCGAGCGAACACGTTTGGTACACTCTCGGTATTAAGCAACATTGCGTTCTTTCTTGCTATGAAATTACGGGAATATCCTTCTTGTACATGGCCGTTAAATTGCAAAGTTGATATTACTAATTCGAGTTGAGATGTGACTTTATATGAGAACTTTTTACTGTAATAAAAAGATTAATATAACTGTTTTTAAGAACTTTTTACTGTAACAAAAAAGTTAAATGTAACTGATTCTAAAAAAATTTTATTGTAATAAAACTTAAATTTTAAATTCAAATCAGTGAAATAAAAGAGACATTGATTAGATTGGATTGTTTGTTGTTACTCTGCATGGATTTGCTTGGCGTTGAAAGAAAACTAATAATAACTTTCTATTTTTTAAACGGGAAATACATGTTTTCTTTTATATTTGTGGGAGATTTTTATAGTAATTTCACATGAAAAAAATTGATAATGTGACGTGATAAGTATCTAATTTTATTAATTATTATAATATTTTTAGGTAATTATTTAATTTATTACATTATAATAACTATTAAAATCACACACATATATATTAATAAAAAACTTGAGCCCGTGAGTAATTTAAACAACAGTAGTACAAATCTTTTAAAAAAAGAGAAAAAAATAAAAATAAAAGTGAGAAAAAAGATCCGAAGCAAAATACAAGATGAAAAAACTAAAAACAAATTGTGCGAAATGTTTCACAACTAAAACGAAATTTATGAGGATCACAAGCGAAAGATGCTACGTAGGGATACATTTAAGAGTAAATTAATTTAACAAAATAATTAAGAAAAAATAATATTTTAAATAACCGTAAAAAAAGTATTTAAATGTGACATATTTAAAAATATATATAAATCGTGTGAGAATTACTCAATGCAAAATAGAAAAAGAAAATAAAAGAAAAGAGAGGGGTCATGTTAAAGTTCTATTGCAATTGCAGAGAAAATCTAATTCCTTTAATAAAGTAACAAAGAGGAGTTTCTATAACCCTACAATCATAATAATAGAAGACTAATTTACCCTTAATAATAAAGAGAAATTACTAAATAACCAAATAACTAATTCTAACCTTAAAATAAAAATAAATATCGTTAACATCCCCTCTCAAACTCATGATGCGACTGCAAGAAGCATCAAGAGTTTGCCAATTGAAAAACAAAAAATAAAACTAGAAAAAATTAAATAGAGACTGGCGTCTTGGAGTTCATATAATTTGATTGAGTCTAATTAATAGTTTACAATCGGTGGTCGTACAATCGTTTTTTCACTTCCGTTTTTGCTTTTGTTTGGACTATGGCACTATCATATTGGGTAGTGATATTTGCATTATTTTTCCTATTCCTTTGATTGACCTGTATTGGGTATTGGCATTACACTCTCCCTTTCTTCTTTGATTGGTTGCATTGTCCAGCTCTTTTGTATTATCTCTTTTCTTTGATTGGCCAATGTTGGACATTAGCATTGACATTGGCATCGATATCGGGATCGGCATCGGCATCGACATTAATATATAGTTGCATAATTGTTTATGAAGTCGTATTTCTGTTTTTTAGTTTTTTTTTTATTTTTCAATTGACAAACTTTTGATATTTTTTGCAGTCGCATTATGAATTTGTAAGGAGATATTAACGATATTTATTTTTATTTTAGGATTATGATTGGTTATTTATTTTTATTAACAAGGATAAATTAGTCTTTTATTATTATACTGTATATAAACTCCTCTTTATTAGTTTATTAAGGGAATTAGGGTTTTTTTACAATTATAATAAAACTGACATTACATCTCTTTTTTTTTTCTTTTCTTTTTTTTTTTTTTCCTTCTTCTTTTCCATCCCTTCTTCTTGCCGTGCGAGATTCCAATTCTCCAAAATTCCATCTAAATTCGTATAAACAATAGATAAAATCCTAACAAAACATATAATCCCAAAACCGTATTCCACCAAATTCCACCCTTTTTTATTTTCTTCAATCAGTCAAAATCTGTGCATATCTTCAATTAACCACCCTTGGTGAAACGATTTACGATGCCACACAATCAATCGTTGAAATCCGTGCGTGTATAGTAATATGAAAGCAACGAAATTAACATCAAAGAATGGCACGAATCTCCAGGCCACTAATGGAATCGCACAATGGCTTAATTTGGTATTGTGACTTAATTTGGTAGTGCGGATTTTAAAAAAATTATTTTTAATTGTGTTAAAGGAAAAAGTAATTGTTACAGTTTTTTTTTTAAATCAGCATATGCTTATAGCAGAAACTGATTTTAGTGTTTGGTAAATCTTCTCAAAAGTGTTTTTTAAAGAATTTTTTAAGAATCTACAGACAAAATCAATAGCAGCCTAAAGGCTTAGGCTTAGTTTGGTAGTGCTGTAGATTTTAGAAAAATTGTTTTTAGCTGTGTTGAAGGAAGAAGCAGCTGTTACAAGAAGCAGCTGAGTGTTTAGTAAATTGTAATTATAGTAGCTGTGCTGGTTTTAAAATCAGTGTAATAGCATTTGGTAAATTTTGATGTTGAATTATTGTGGGTATGTAAAATGACCAAAATAGACATGGTATGAAACTTAAATATATATAATTGTTTTTTGTATTTAAAAATACTTGTTTAACTTAAAAAAAAAACAAACATAATGCTATGATTTTGAGTTTTTTAACAATAAATTTATGATAATTAATTTTTTTCATTTCTTTATTCACAATATAGTTACAACTAAAAGGAGCATTAGTGAGTAATCAACTTGTCACAATTTGATCTCATACTTCATCCATTTCTTGTGATAATAAAAAACTAGTATTTTGATTTTCTTCTACATTATCCTCAAATTGATTGTCTTTATAAACGATACTATCTGGATCCACCTCAAAGAGTATGAGACTTGAGACCGTGTCAACGACGTAAAAGAGCAAATGAGACAAACTGCATATATTACTAACTAGATTACTTGTCACTTAACACTGACTTTGAGACTTTCGAACTCCACAAAATGGTGATAAATCCACATGGCCTTAGCAGTTGTCATGTTCTCGGCACATGCATAGAAGAGCATTATATGGTCGACGACCCACTCGAAATTGTGATAAATGGTATCTTTTTCCTTTATATGGTCCAAAAAATCCTTTTAATTGTGAATATCCCACATCAATCAAATAATATTTACCTATTGAAATAAAAACACATAAATGGGTGACATGTAAAAATTATATTACAAATATCACTCTCCTCAGTGAACAAACAAACAAACATTAATGTTGGCAGCAGAACGAAGCTTCATGCCGTCATCATCCCATTTGGACTGCGGGTCAGTTGCTCCGGCAATAATTGCCTTCACAAAAAACAAGTAGAAATGATTACTTTATTACACACACGGATCAAGGGGATAACTAGATACATTAGACTAAATTTGGAAAGGACAGATTGTGATCTAGGAGGCAGGATCTTGCCATTTTAGCACAAGGATTTAGTAAAAACTCTTAGCATATATGCTTGTTATAGACTGGTTTATCCAGTGTTCTTGACAAGAACCATAGAATACAAGTCAACCTAATCTAATGTTGGCAGAAAATTGACTAGTGTTTCTACACTACAATGCACATGAACGATGAACACAAACCTTCCCACTATTAACAGCAGCAACCAGTGCTACATGCTGATCATCTCGTCTCGGCCAACTTCATAGAAGTAATAAGTCCTGAAACATATCAACATATGAGCAACACATTGAATGAGAGGTAAAACAAACATAAATTGTTACTCAACGTAGATAAACAGAAAAATCTCAAGTAAAAGGAAACCATAGAGATCAAGAAGGAAGTCCCGACAGGCATCTCCAGATAACAAGTTAGATATGGTTATACAGTTATGTACTTATGTGAGATAGGTAAGCCTAGTTTTTCGTGATTATTATTGTGCCTAGGACAGGACATTCTTATTTTTGGTAAAGCCGAGCAAAACCCATCTAATAGCGAAGAACACTCTTTTAAGAGATACACAAGTCCAACATTCAAAATCAAGAACCAAAATTGAGACATTGACTAGGCTTTGGCAATATCCTCTACAACAAAAATAGTTTTGCACCATGCATAACAATAGTCCCAAGTCCAAGAGAACCAAAGATTAGATTATAGAGGAATTATAACGGATAATCACTACCATAATGATCGAACTGAAGAACAAGTATGCTATTCCTATACGGCAGTTTTTTAAAACTATCAAAACCGTTTTCATTTTAGCCTTCCATTCTTCCATTTCCCATCTCCATACCATTCTTCCTATACTTCTTCACACTCAATCAAAACCAAGTAAAAGACAAAAAAATGAAAAATGAAGATCATTGTTTTATATGCTGCCATGTAAAGATTTACAGAATTCTAAGGATATAAACAAGCAGTAAAATGAAGATTGGTCTCACACAACCCAATCAAAACGCATCCACATCTAAAAAGAATATAAGAAAACAAATTATATCAACAATCAAAGAGACACCCAAATTCCAAAAAAGAAAAAAAAAAGAAAAAGAAAAAGAAAAGCAAAGAAACAAAGATCATCATATTTGCAACTCTAGAAATTTATTTTCATAGTTCTACTCCAAAGGACATATCAAGAAACAATTAAAGAAGATTGGTCTCAGACGAACCAACCCCCCAATCTAATAACCTAAACATAGTTCAATGCTCCAATCACAGCACCACATCTAAAAATCCAGATTATATGAACATTCTAAGAAGTATCGTGTCAATAACTCTAACCAAATCTTGAAGTGAAGCCGATTAGAAACTGTGCTTAAAACCCAGACCATGCTTGCCGCGAACAGCCCCAGGCCTCACAAACAAATACGGCAACCTCTTGGAATTGGACATCTTCTTCGTAAATCCCCTTTTCCCCAACTTTCTCAT